ACATTTCGATCAAAATCTGGACATATACCATTAACACAAGGTGAATTAGCTGATGCACGTCATAAACGTTTAAATGAAATTAAAATGTGGGCAATTATAAGAGAATTATTAGCATATTCATCGTTTTTATGGATACTTTATGTTGTTAGTTATTCAAATCGTGATCCTAATGCATTTTATCTTATGAAACATTTAAGAGCAGATTTGCTTGATGTAAATAGTGCAACAAATGATTTTACAAAGGTAAATATTTTTTTTTTTTAAATTTATTTGAATATTCAGTAAGCAATATTAATTTCTGAAGGATACGTAATAGAAATTAGAACTCAAATCAGAAATAATGATGAATATTATAATATTATTGATTTTATTGTTGACAAAAGAACCATCCGAAAGTAATAGTCGTCATTTCAGCTCATTATTAGGCCTACGAAGGTGCCTTGGTGAGACTAGAAAAAAGTGGCATAGCCAGGGATTTTTTATTTGTGGGCTATAGTCCATCACTGGATACGTCATTGTTAGCAAGTCATTCAATCGATATATACTCAAAATTTTATATCGAAATTCTATTTTTTTGATTTTTTCATATATGTCTAAAGCTGAGTTGAAAATTTCCCTAGAGAAAAATGCCAATAAGTTTCTATTGATATCGAATAAGTTCGAGATAGATCGCAATTCATTTAAATCTAAATTATACTAATCATTTTTTAATTTTGTTTTTCATTCGATTTGTATCTATTGATGTATTTCTTGCATTTTAGATTTATAATGTCGATCAATATTGGAATTGGTTAAGTACATCATTCGTACCACATATTCGAGCTTCTAAATGGTATAATGATGCGCCACCAATTAACCTAACAGGTAAATAGATCATTAATATTATTTCATTAATTACTTGTTTTTTTTTAAGGTTATATTAATGATAAAACAAATCGTATTCTTGGTTGGACAACAATGCGTCAACTACGTGTGAAACCTCGTATGTATTTAAATTTTTTTCTTTTTGTTTTTTTGTTATATTTGTAAATTAAATCTATTTTAGATTCATGTACAGTTGTTTCATCATTTCAAAATATAACTACATCATGTGAAGCAGGATATAATATATTTAATGAAGAACAACATTCATTTAATCCTGGTTGGACATCAATTTATGATCCAACTATTGGTCATATTGGAAATTATTCATTAGCAATAAATAAAGCATTTATGTTTAATAAAAGTGAATCACTTGATACATATACATATGTTGGTGAACATGCAACATATGGTGGAGGTGGTTATGTATATGAATTTCGTGGAAGAATGTCTGAAATGTTAGCAAATATATCATTATTACGACAATTATCATGGATTGATATGCAAACACGAGCAGTTATTATACAAATGAGTTTATATAATCCTAATGTAAATTTATTTGTATTTGTTACTATACTTGCTGAATTTTTACCAACAGGTGGTATTTATCCATCAGCACGTGTTGAACCAATATCATTATTAAATTACTATCAAGGTATAAATAATTATGACAAATAGGAAAAAAAAAAGATTATAAGATCAAAAAATTCTTTTTTTTTTTTTTTTTTTTTATTAAGGTTTTGGTTTATTTAAATTAATTTGTGCAATTGTTTATATGATATTTATAATTTATTATATGCAACGTGAAATTCGTTCTATATTCAAACGTCGTAAGCAATATTTTCGTGATATATGGTCATATACAGAAATTGGTTTAATAGCATGTTCATGGACTGGTTTAGTTATTTATATATGGCGTATACGTGAAGGTAATCGTATTAGTACTTTATTTAAACAAACAAATGGTTATGCATATATTAATTTACAATTAGCATCATATGTTAATGATATATTAACATTTTTATTAGGGTTTTGTTGTTTTTTTGGTACAGTTAAATTTTTACGTTTATTAAGATTTAATCAACGTATGTCAATGTTAGCATCAACATTAGTTTATGCAGCTAAAGATTTAATATCATTTTCAGTGATGTTTTCAATTATTTATTTGGGTTATTTAGCATTATTTTTTCTTTTATTTCATTCAAAAATTTGGGCATGTTCAACACCTTTAAGTACAGCACAAATGTTATTTGAAATGATGTTATTAAAATTTGATGTTTCGGATTTATATGCAGCTAATATTTTTCTTGGACCATTCTGTTTTACATTATTTGTAATATTTGTAGTTTTTATTTGTATGAATATGGTATGTATAATATAGAGATGAGATTTGATTTAGATTAAATCAAATCAAAGTTAATATGTGAGATATAACAAACTGAATTGATCTCATCTTTGATATAAAACGAAGAAAAGAAATGAAAATGAAATTCTTTTTTTTTTTTTTTGTTTGCATTTTAGTTTATTTCAATTATATCAGATTCATTTCGAATTGTTCGACATAATATGTCATTACAAAATAGTGAACATGAAATTATTGAGTTTATGACTAATCAATTTAAGAAATGGACAGGTAAAGATATGCATTATTAAAATATATGATTTCATTTCTTTTTTAATTTCTTTTTTTAGGTATTGGTAGACCTAAAGAATTAGATCGTCTTCATTTAAATCCATTTGATGGTACTCGTGTTCATTATCATGATCCAATAACATCATTTCCTAATAAAATGGATGAACTAATAATTGCATTGAATAAAGTAAAAAAAAAAAATTTATTTTTTTGTTTCTGATTAATTTGATTTTTATATTTAATATTTCTTAGATTTACATGGATACAAAACGTAATGATACGTTAATATTTCGTCCAATTGATAATAATACATCAGAAATAATTGAAAAAACAAATGTTATATCAGATAAAACTGATAAAAAATTCAAAGACTAAATAAATTATCAAATTTGATGTTTTCTATTGTCTGTATACGTGATTATTATTATTCTTATTATTATTACTGTTGTGATATTTGTATTGTGCCTGGAAAATTTTTATTTTTCTCATCAGTGTTAAGTGTTCTATGAGAAAGTTCAGTCGTATAAACAGATGTGTATAAAGAGAAAGAATAATCTCGAGTGATTAATAACTTATGAATTCTATTCAGCTGTATTTCTTTCTTTTTTGGTAAATTTAAAAACCAATATTATGTCGCCTAAGCGAAAGAAAAATAAAACTTATTTTTTGGAATAAAAAACTTCCAGATTGACGAATACGAAGTTTCTATATGCCTGTCAACGATCGTATTTTACCGTTTCAAATAGTTTAGTATTACGATCATATATCTTTATGACCGTATATAGATCAATATGATTATATACGGAGAAAAGTAGAGACTGTATATGCAGCTTCCGTATACGACGAGAGTAAACGAGTGGTTTTTTTTCTCCGTAAATCATCGTATTTCTCCGTTATATGACCGTAATACTGAACTATGTATATCATCGTACTTATTACTGTACGTTTGTTTATGACCGTGCCTGTTTGATTTGAGCTCTGTTAGTAGATGTCTATCAAAGGTTGTCATCAATAGAAATTATATGAAAAGATAAGAGCAATCAATGAATTTTGTTATTTTTATTGAAACTTATTCATATAGATGGAGATGACATAATGCAAAATATAAATATTGATTTGCATTTTGAAGAGAAATTTGTAAAAAAAAAAAACAAAAATATATGAATACTGATCTATAATGAAATCTTTGTTTTATTAAAGTAAAACAAATGTTAATCAACTGAGAATGTTTTTTGGCTCATCATTATCTTTATTATGAGTGCATATGAACAGTTCATGAAATTTATAATTACGAAAATTCAATTGTTATTATAATCGTAATTCTGAAGATAATTTTATTCATCATTATAATAATGATCGAAAATAATAAGTTCTTTTTTTGTAGAAAAAATGCAAAGAGCACTTATTCTCATCAATTCTCATCAATTATCGATTGTAAAAATTATTAATGAATAAATAATGATAATAATTTTATCAATGAAATATTTTCTAACATATTATTATTGTAATTAAAAGATATGAATTATATTTAAAGAGAATGTCTTTAAACACTATATTTATTCCATAGGAAAATGTATCTTCATGACATACATCAATGTTGAATCTTTTCTTTTTTATTTTTACTACAATTATCTACTTCTGGAAATATAATGAATATAAAAGAGTATAATTATCTTCTTGAATAAATACTAAGATCAGATAGTATAGTAGTCATTGATCAAAGTAATGAATAGCTTGGCTACTATTATTACAAAGCATCATAAAATAAAAGACATATGATTGACAAGAAAAAGAAAGGTCAGCTCTAGTATGTAGTAATGAAACAGTTTGTGGAATAATTAAAAAAACGTTGTCTGTTGTTCACGTTGGTGCAAGTTACCTCCTACTATTATATCCAATCAGACAAAACGAAAGAATTTTCTTGATCCATTTAACATGACCGAGTGTCCTTTTTCAACGTACTATTGACCGATGGACGGTAAAACATCTGTTACTTCTACGACTAATTAGCTATAGTTCAATGGATTGTACTATATGCGACATCTATTCTTCTATTATAGTTATTTCAATTATTTTGAACTATATAAAATTATAAAACTATTTTCTGAAAATTTAAATCATTCGAAAACATCTTTATTTTCTTTTATATTATTTATTTTTCCCTTATAATTATAATAAAAGATAACTGTTTATACTAATTAAGAAGGTTCAATTGTCTCTATTATGGCTATAGGTAATCTATTGTTTTTTTTTTCTATGTCAAATAATCAATTGATCATCTTCTTCGAACTTCTCTATCAACATCTAAAGATTAAATCATTCAATAATTTCCTAAATTACTTTTGCATGTATATTGATTTATTTGAAATAGATATATTTATAATGACAGCCCCTAGAGAACAAAAAAGAAAAATAGAACGGAAACATAACGCATGTGATTTATTAAACTTTTTCTTTTTTTCATTGCAGATCATTTGTTTAGTACTACAACAGATTCTTCTTCATTATGTCGAATTTCTCTAAAGATCATCCATCAATTCGGTAGATAATTTTTTTTTTAAATGAATTTATCTATTAAATCTTTTCTTTAGTGTCTTTGCACCACCAGGTGGTCGTACTGCTAATATATTTGGTGTACCTGAACCTGAAGCACCAATGCCAACAAAAAAAAATCATATGGAATCAGATATATTTGGCTGTAAAAAGGATAATACTGATTCCGTACCTGTCAAGTAAAATGAAGAAAAAATAAAATAAAATGTATATATAAACTTAATTTTGTTTTTTTTTTTGTAAATAGACAAACACGCAATATAACAAATAATATATTTGGAAGTCAACCTGAACAATCAGTTCCAAAATCGAATGTATATTCAGATAAAAATAAATCAACTATATTTGATGAACCACCACCTCAACAACCATCAAATAAACCTGATCGACAACGATCAAATATATTTGCTTCTAATGAACCTATGCAATCAACATCAACACGTCCTGTTTCAGAAAAATATAAATCAAGTATATTTGGTACTGGAGATAATGATATACAAACAAAACGTCAACAAGGTACACGACAAGGTTTACGAGGTAGGTTTCAACAAACAAATAATCGTCAAGATAGTTATCGACCATCTATTGCCATAAGTCTTTATTCACCATTGAGATTAAAAGGTAGCATTTATATTTAAAAAACCAATGAATTCATCATATGCATTATGTTTCTATTCTGCATTTTATTTTTGTATATTATATAAATTTTATTTAGATCCAAATGCATCACGCAGTGAGTCTGCTATTTCTTTTGTGTTATACTTGTTTTTTTATATTTTGAACTAAAAAAGAATCCATGAAAATATTTTGTCTTAATTCTAACTTTTCTCTTTTATAGTGCGCGTGCTTATCGCTTTTGTGAATATATTAAGAATAGAAAGAGATAGGTCCTGTTGGTTTTTATTTTTGTTTTTCTTTCCTTTTGTCTTAGTGTATTTTCAACATTCAACACATAGAACAGTGTGAATCACTTACTAAATGATATAACTTGTTTTTTTTTTAAAAATTATCTTCTAAAAACAAATAATCTCGAATTTTCTATGCATGATCCTTTTATTTAGACGTTTATCATTCGTCAAGCTTCAATCGTATTCGTGTAAATGCCTATTGCTTTGTTGTATGGTTGCCCATCTGTCACTTGCTTTTGAGATATAACAACATATATATATATATATGAATTGAGATATGAAGCTAAAAAGGAATATTTAACACACCCTATTTTTATTATGTTAAACTTTGTTAATTCATTAAAAATAAAAAAAAAGATTTTTATAGTTTAATGCTTCACTGAACTTTTGCTTCGGAATGTGCTTCATTTTTTTTCTTTTGATTATTCTTATATTATTTTCGTATTTTGAATATTTTTTTGTTTTTATTTATTATAGTGGGTTATAATCCAATAAATGGTGAACCTTATTCAACTAAAGATGGTTTAAGTTCAAAAGTTGAACAAACAGGAATGATGGAAAATGAAAAAGATTCGAATGATACAAGTAAAACACCTGAAGCAGAAAATGGTGAACAAGTTGAAAATGGTAAAGATAAATCGAATGAAAATGGCCATACTGATGAATCTACTACTAATGCTACTGAAAATGGTAATGCTGAAACATCAAATGATAAACCTACCAATGGCCATAGCACGGCAAAAGTAAGATGAATAATATGAGTACAATGTTTTATCTAAATTTTCTCTTCCGAAAGGGTCAAAAATCGGTTTTTGGAGAGGTGATGACTGTGACCAATCAGATTTTTTTGTCCCGCTGTGTGCGATAACTATGTTGTTTATGAGCAAAAAGGATTAATTTTACCAGCAAATATTGAAATAAGTTTTACTCAATAATTTTCGTATAAACTTTTAGGACATATAAGTCGTGAGAATATGACATTTGGCGCAAGTTTCATACGATCATAAAAAAATATCAAAAAACTATTAGACTATCTAGTGCGTCGTTCGTTCGCCTTCCACGCTGGATAAAACACTGTATTGACAATGGAAAATGATATTGTTTTGATTTGATAATTGATTTCATTTTTATTCAACTCATATAGAAATTTTTTCTAGTATCTAAAGTTAATCTTTCTTAAATGAATCAAGATTATAGAACATGACTGTTCGATGATGATTTCTACACCGTTTACCCGTCTGAAATGATAAATATAATGTTGACAATTTTGTGTCCTGAGAACAGTTTTATAATTTATAGAGTTTCTATATGATTTTTTAAACACTAAAATCATATAAATTGATAAAGATAAATTTCTTCGATTAAGATAAAATTCATCTCTATGAATTCTTTGATATTGTGTTAAATTTATTGAATTAAATTTTTTTTTTATTAATAGAATCCGCATACAAGTGTTCGTATTGCTCATCCGCCAGGTGGTCGATCAAATGGTCCACTTTGGTAAAACAAAAATCATTTTCATATATTAATTAATCGCCAAAAAAAAAAAAGAACAAATATTAATAATCAATGTTGTGTTGTGTATCAAACAGTTGTTTGGTTTTTTTTCTTTCTATGTCATTATTCTTATTGCGTTATAATTTATATTATCTTATGGGTTTATCTGGTCTCCATCACATTTAATCTAACAGCATGCTTCAGATATATCAATTCACGGTGTTTTTTTTTCATTTTCGCTTTTTTTTTTCTTTTTTTTTCGTTTCATTGTCTCTTAGCGTGTGTTTGTTAATCAAATATTATTATTCATTTTGTCTGTAGTAGAGAATGAATGTAGCAAAGAAAAAATTCATTTTCTTCTGTTGTGCGATGATTCAATGATCTTCTTTTTTTTTCTTTATCATCTTGACTTATTTACGCGTGCATTTAAATCATAAAACAAGCAAGAAGAAAAAAAAGAAAACAAATCACAACAAAATTAATTCTGTAGACCTCTTTAAAAATGAATTCTTTCTCATACTTTAGATATGATCGGTCAACGACGTTAAGAAAGAAAGATAGACGAATTACGTCCTATATTTCTTATCGCCGGTGACGAATGTACAAACGATAGATTGAATTTTATAAGAATGTAAGTGTTTAAGTTCTATTCATACAAGAGAGTTCTAATTATATTGATAATCTCTAGCAAAAAAAATATATTATGATCTCAAACGGTGCATTAGATGGTGAAATGTATGGAGTTTCACCATTTCAACAAGTAAAAGAATATCTAAGATATGTTTTCTTTTCTTTTTTTTGTTAATGAGGATTTCTTTTAGGGAAGAACATTTATGACACCACCACGTAATCCACCAGTTTATTATAATAATTCGAGTTATTCCCAACCATCTATGATGACACGTGATGGTACATTAAATAATGCTGGTAGTAGTGCTAATCCAAATAATACTAGTGGCTATTTATCTGATCTACACTCACATTCAGTACAAAGCAAATTTTCACATGTGAGAATTTAAAATAACAAAAAAACAAAATTATTCTTTTTTTGACGTATTTTAATGATAGAATATTAGTTTATTCAAGTTCAATTGATTCTCTCACGATCATCATATCATTAAGCACATTTGGTTTTTTTTTGTTGTGTACGAAATGAAAAACAAAAATATGTACATATTAATAGAATCAATATCCCTTGAAATATTTTCTCAATATATCTTCGTCAAGGTTTATCACATCATGCGTTAATATGTTTCTTGTGTAAAAAAAGATTCATCATTGAATTTTATAGAAGAATGTATTACAAGTCTTTCTACAAAATGTTAAGCAAAGAAAAAATAGATAAATAATACTACAAGACTCCATTATGGTTAACTTCACAAATAAAATATTTTAATTTCAAGAAAAATGAATAGAAAATTTTGAATAAGACTATTTGTCCAGGTATATTGCACAAAACAAGCAAAGTTTTACGTGTTTTTGATTCAATTCCAATAAAATAATGTTTGCATTAAAATTTGAAACGAACTTCAATGTACATTATGAGAAAGCACTCGCTTAGTTATACTCCTAAATGTACTCTGTCATGTAAAACCAGAAAAAAAAAACGCTGCATTGTTCTGAAAGAAACGACTTTTAATAATTGGATATGTTGAAACTTCACTGTATTATTGTTTATCTAATATTTCTGCTTAACATTTTTGTGGTAGAACTTGTACTGTATTCTTGTTGAAAGATATTTATTCTGGCACATCCGGTATATATTCAAAGTCTTAAGAAAGAAATTCTAAAATGATTTAAAATATGAAAACTTGAAGTAAAAGCTTTCTTATGGGTAAGCAACTGTAATTAATAAAAGAAAAAAAAAGAAAGAAAATCAATACTAAAATTGAATATTACAACCCGGAGACCGGATATCCGTATTCATTTATGGGTAGGTATATGACAATTAATACTTGTAAAGTACTACTGAGATTGTATTATAATGAAAGCTTAAAGATAGTTGCTGATATTTTACACGTCGATGGCGTTTGCAATTCGTTGTGTTTATATTTTATGATCGTTTTACTATTATTAAATTGTTTTTCTAAATTAAAATTAAAAAAAAAATGATACATATATACATTACGAAGTATTAATAATAGTCCAATATGAGTAGAATACAAATCTGAATAATATGAAAACTAGTATTCCATGTTTTTTTTTTTGCTTCCTTCATGTATTATAATTTAATTTTTAGGCTAATAGTATGATGGGTACATCCCGTTTAGCACATCTTGGTGTTAATGGACCATTTAGTAGTCTAGGACCAGTTTCCAGTCATGGTACGTTAATCTAATTAATATTTTTTTGTTTTTTTTTTTTTTTTAATGAGAAAAACTTTTTTTTTGTGCATATATATTGCTTTGCTTCTGCATCTTTCAGTACGCAAAAGCTTACAAATGACAAGTATGCTTGTGTATATTGCTCTTGAACAAAAAAAAAAAAGAGAAAAGAATTACGCATGTTTCATTTGTTGATTATTTTCTGCATGATGTTTTTCTGTTTTTTTTTTTGTCTATAGATTTAAGTTTTTATTTCGTTTATTAAATTTTTATTTAGTTGATGCAGCAGCCGTGGACAATAGTGCACGCATATCGCCAGAGAATAATCTTGATTTTTATGCTTATTCACAAGCGGCACCATACAGTGTAATTTTCGCAATTTTCATTTATTTATTTATTTAGTTTTTCTTTCGTTTTGTTTATATGATATATGATTTCTCTTTTTTTCGTTTGTGTGTATATTAAAAAAATATTATTGATTATGTATATAAATATACAGATGCAACAATTGACCGATGATGATCTACTTATTGGTGGTTCAAATCGTGATGAAAAAGAACGTACAATACCACCTGATATGCCATCTGTTCGACAAGTACGATCTGATTTTGCATATTTTATGAGTGATGAATTGAGGTAATATTTGTTCGAATAGAAAAAGAATAAAATAAAAGATCTTTTTTTTCCTATTGTTTTCGTTTCTCTTAGAGCTGAATTACTTAGGCGTAATCAGATGTTAATGGCATGTGCGAATCTTGATGTAGCAGGAGGTAAGACAAAGAAGAAGAGCTGTGTTGTAGAAAGATCAAACGGCAAAATATCGAAAAGTTCAACTAATAAGACCTTTTTTATTTTTGGTATAATGCTAACACTGTAACATAGATCATACAGAAGCCAAAAGATAAAAACAAAAAAGAGAAAGAAATAATAGAGTCATTTTTTTCCGTTTAGCAATGATAAGTGACCAATCATCTAAATATTCTATTACATTTATAAGACCATCATAATATCGTTCATCAGGATTATTTATACAATGTTGAATAGCAATTGTTTTGTCAAGAATGACCAAGTCAAGCCACTTTTCGAGTTATTTTTACAATTTTTTGTTCGTTTTCTCTTTATTCATATAAAGAACGTTCACAAAAAGTTTTTTATGTCACGATATCTTGTTCCTAGTTTTTATGCACAAAAACAAAATAAGAATAGTTCTACATAAGATAAACTGACACAACCATTATAGCCTGATTAAAAAAAGTAAGGACAGTAAAACATCACCTTTTTTTATTAACAAAAACCTAAACTCAAAATTGTTTACAAGCAAAAAATATTTATCAATATTTAAATTAATATCTTATTGCACTTCGAAGTTGTTAGAATGCAAAAATATTATTGGAACAATCCAATCTCATGAAAACATCACTGAGAGAATTAAGAGATTGATATGAATTAAGATCACCGATAAAATTTTCTTCCTGTAGAAAAGCATGAATTTCTTCTGAAATTGATTTTGATATTGAATTATCAACTTTTGTTGCTTTTTTTGAATGAATGACTCGAGTCTAAGTCACGACTCGGACTTTGCCATTCCTATGTTTTACTCTTGTAATTAAGCCTAAGGGTTAAGTATGGAATTGGAATAAGGAAAAGAATTACATCCACACCCTTATTTCGGTTTTTCTACAACTAATCGAAGAAGATATCAATATCATGAATTATTTTTTTGAAATTTTATTCATTTAAGCTATGCCTGAACGTGTTGGTGATTATTATAATTTAATGCCACTTGATAGTAGTCAAGCAAATGTTCCACATAAATCACGTACATTTCGTTATCAAACAATAAGTTATAAAGCAACACATATACGAACTAATACTGTATGTTATTTAAAAAGAATAATGGGTATAAAATTTAAAAAAAAAAAGAAATTCTTCTTTACTTTATTTCTAATAGTTCTAAATATTTTTCTTTTTCTTTTTATGTATTTATTTAATAAAGGATGTAAATTACCAACAGCACGTCTTTATGAAGTTGTTGAAGCATGGAAAAAAATTGTTCATGCTAATATTGTACAATTACGTGAAGTTTTTTTAACAAAAGATTTTGACGATGAACAACCTTGTATTTATTTTTTTATTTTTTATTTTTATTGTTTTTAAATATGTTTATTTACAAAAATTTCTAGCTATTATTTTCGCCTATGATTTTATACCATGTTGTGAAACGTTACAAAAACGGCATTTTAGTTCAAATAATAGTCTACTTAAAGGTTGGGCTAATCCATATAATCTATCTGGTGAAGATCGTCCATTTAGTGCCGGCAAAGGTATATGAAATATATTTTTATAATTTATATCTTTATATATATATATGATGATGATTTTATTTAAGGAACCAGTCAAACAGGTTTATTAGCCGAATCACTTATATGGGAATATGTTGTACAGATGTCATCATTAATTCGTACATTACATGGAGTATCACTTGCTTGTCGATGTTTAAATTTATCAAGAATACTTGTTGATGGTGATTCAAAAGCAGGACGTGGAAAGTCTAGGTATATAACATATCTAAACAAAAAGATTATGATAAAAGTTAATCTATGAAGAAAATAGAATTCTGTTACTATTTAATAATATAGAATGAAAAGATTATATGTCCAGTGTTTTATTTTTATTCTCTCAATATATATAACTTTCTGCATTTCGTCATTATTATTAAGTGTAGATGAATTTTTTTTTTATTCTAATAGATTATTAAGTATTTTATCTTTGTATTTCTAGACTCTGGCTTAGTGGTGTAGGTATTGCTGATATTCTTGATGGAACTATTAATGGAACTGTTCATCAACATATAGTAAAATAATTAATTTTTTAAAATTTTTTGCTTAATTTATTTAAATATTATTATTATTATTTTGGTTTTCTAGTTAAATGATTTACAAGATTTTGGTCGTTTAATATTAATGTTAGCATGTAATTCAATTGTAGGTGCACAAAAAGAACATTTACAAACATCATTAGAAATAGTTCAACGAAATTATTCACATGATCTTAAAAATCTTATTCTGTAAGATTTCTAATGGAAGAAAAAAAAAACAGAATAGTCTCAAAGTCATCCAGTAGTCTTTGTCGGCGAATAACTTTTAACAGAAACAAAATAGAAAGTTACTGTTCGAAAGAGATTGTTCTGCTATATAATTCAAGAATGTCGGTTAATGAGCACATTGCCAGTTAGTAGGCTTTAGGGTGTGGATCATGAGCATATGACAGACGATTCGGTGATTAGCCAACATTGTTGAATTATACAGTGATACAATTTCTTTTCGAATAGTACAAGCTGTAGTTCTTTATATTGTTCCTATCAAAAGTTATTCACTAAACAAAAACTATCGAGTGACTTTTGAATCAACCTGTAGATGTTTATGTTTTGTATTTGTATTGTTTTAGACACTTCCTATTACCATCGAATACATCAAAGCCAAAAACTATTAATGAATGTATGCCAATGATTGGTGCACGTTTTTATGCACAAATTGATAATTTACATGTACGCGGTGATATTCTTGAAAATGAATTAGCTAAAGTAAGTCAATTAAATAAATTATTTTATAATTAATAATGATTTTTTTTGAATATTTAGGAACTTGATTGTGGTCGTTTGTTTCGTTTAATTTGTAAACTCGATGCACTTCTTGAACGACCAGAGTAAAAAAGAATTTTTTTTTTGTTTTTTGTTTGAAATATATTTAAATAAATATTCAAATTTTAGACATTCAATGAATCAAGTTTGGTCTGAAACAGGTGATCGTTATATTTTGAAATTATTTCGTGATTTTGTATTTCATTCAGTTGGTTTTGATGGTGAACCAACCCTTGATATAGCACATATTGCCCAATGTTTAAATAAAGTAAAAACAAAATTTTTGAATAAAACATTTGCTTTTTTTTTTTAAACTATTAATGTTTTTTAGTTCGATGCAGGTTCACATGATAAAATTTGTCTTACATCACGAGATGAACAAAATGTTATTATTGTTAGTTATTCTGAATTACATCAAGCATTCGAACGTGCTTTTACTGAATTAATGAATTATGGATCGACAGGATCATCTTGAAATATTCGAAATAAGAAAATAAAAAAAAAAACAAAGATCTGTTTGTTAGAAAGAAAATCTTTAATATCATTTATTATTCATCCTAAATGTATGTATAGAAAAAAAAAAGTTTCTTTCTTTCATTTTTCAATTTCTTTATAATGTATAAAGAAAATTCTCCAACACATATTTTTCTTTTTCTTTTTCAACGTCGTTCGTTAGATGTTATTTCTTGATTATAACTATCATATTATTAAAAAAAAAAAACAACCAACTAATGTTCACTTTTGTGCGTCTAGATGATAGAAGCTTGTATTGTCTGTTTTAACCTTATATTAAAAAAAAAATATCAAGCATCGGTGTAGTTCTTTTTTTTTTGTTCAATGTGTAACATTCAATTTTTTTTTTCTTTAACAAACTATATTAAAAAAAATAAAAAAAACTAAATCATGAATACAGTGTAATCGAAAATATACTCAAATGGTATGTGGCACTGTTGATCAAAAAAAGCAAATGTTATTATTAAAAAAAAATGGTTAAAAGAAAATAAAATGCCATTTGCATCCTATGTGAAGAAGAAGAAGAAGAAGAAGAAGAGAAAAAAAAAGTATTATATTTTTTTTCTTTTTTCTGAAATATGAGAAAAAAAATTCTATAGAACATAGCAACATCAATAACGACAATGATTACTAAACGGTTTTTTTTTACACTACACAACAATTTTATTCAACAATAAGAAGTGACTTTTTATCATGACACAATTTGGAACAACAGATTCAGCTAGTCATCTTAATCATATTCTTCCAATACCATATACTCCATCGTATATCGGTCGGTTAGTAGTACTAGACAAAAAAAAAATAAGAAGAAGAAGAAGAAGAAGGATTTCTAATGATTGAAAGATTAAATCAGAGCTTAACTATATGAAAATTTTTAGTCATCCAATTTATCCAAAAGCAAGTCCAGATATAACAACACGAATATATAATCCAATATTTGCAACTCGTTGGCAAAAATCATCGGATAATTATGCTGTAAAAAGTCGAGATTATCATTGTGCTACATATACATATCTTGGACCGGAATGGTTTAAAGCACCACCTAAACATTATGCAACATATAAAGAACCTCTTCGTCTGCCAGGCGGAAGTTCAAATGTATGTTGTCTTTGATTATTTATTTTGAATGATTGAAATTCTTTTTCTATACGTTTAGAATAATCGACCACAAAGTGTTCCAAATCAAACTTCGTAAAATTATATACATATATATATATATAGTTTCAAAAGAAAATAGAATTTCTCTTTCTTTTTTTGTTAATTTTTGATTAGACGATCAAATGATAATTGGTCTCAATTCCTTAATGAATATCCTGGTCGTTTTAAAATCGAATATGCATCACCTGATGATGTTAATGATTTATGTTTTAAAAATAATCATGTTCATTATGATACGAGTGTTACAAACCGACCAACTCGTTATGCTGTAAGTTTTTCATGTAATTTAATCATAAAAAAAAAGTCTATTCTACTTTGTTTTCTCATTAAGTTTCAAACTGATAAAGAACCGCTTACACTTGCAACAGGAATACCAAATCGAATTGAACCTGTAACGTAAGTTAATCGAATATATGTCAATTGTTTTTATTACTATTTCCTTTTCTTTTTTATGTTTATATTTAGAAATCCATTTCGACAATCAGATGCACAACATGCTCCAATGACCACACATGCAACATGGTTTCCTTATGGCAACATACCATGTCGATATCAAAATTTTGCTAGCCAAAATCCACGATTTTAATATTATTCATAATAACTGAAATAAATAATTGAAAAATAATTTCTTTTAAATATAAAAGTTTGAAACAAATAGAAGAATTTTCTTAATAGTTAGCAGATTATGGTTTTTTCTTAGTTTACTAAAAGGAATATTATCGAAATTTTGTTTTGATTCGATCTAGTAAACTTCGTCAATTGATATTATTCAAGTCTTTTTTGTTTATATATAAATATATTCAAATTTTGATTAACTCTTGTATTAGTGAACAATGATCGATCTGTTAATTTCATTTAAAAGACGAAAATATTGTTCACTCTATTTGTATTGACATTAAACTCATTCAAATTATATATTATTGAATTGGAAAAGGTTAAATAATGGATAACAAAAATATACAACTTTTGATAAATAGTAATATCACATAATCAATAAAGTTCTCTATCAAATGCACTATGTGAAAAAATTTTCTAAAACAAAAATTGAACACATTCGTTTTCAGGTACTAGAAAATGTTGTTTATGAACCTTCGTTTTTAACAGTACTATCTGAAAGAGCACAATATTCTGAAATTACAAGCAATGAAAACAAGTCAAAGTCATCAAAAAATCACTGAGAAATGTATTGTTTTGTGATGCTTATAAATTTATTAGGGAATCTTGTAAAAAAAAACCCGGCGATCCCTAATATTATGCAGAATGTTGTGCTCTTTGAGATGGTAATATTAAAAACGAAATCCCACATAATTCGACTATGAAACTTTGATATATATATAGTGCATCTGATTATTGATTATGCAAATTACTATTTGAATATGAATTAGATACTCGACATCGACAAATAAAAAGAAATCCAAAATACTTTATTCTTATAATTGAAAGCAATACTGTATGCAACAATCAACTTAAATATAACTTTATAATCTCTAACAATCTGTTTAATAGATTTATTGATATGATCTGTTATTTCAAAACAATCGACATATGAAACATTCACGTATTCCTATACATGTTGATTACAATAACAAGAAAAAAAACTAATAATCGATTATCATTCATAATATTATGAATAAATTAATTTTAACATATGAGAAAAGAAATGAATAACATCTTTGTTTTCTGATTATATTGTAGATGTAGACTTTTTTTTGTCGTATACATTAATTCATCCATATCTCATATGTATAATGAAGAGAACAAACAGTTGGAGGGCGTCGAATAGGAAAAGGTCGTTTTGTTTGGTATCATCATTTTTATCCTTCCTGCTGTTGTCGATTCTGCTATTGAAAAAAAGAAGAAGTAGTAGAGATAGACAATGATTATACCAAGCTGTACAGATAGATTTTCTAATGGAAAAAAAACGGCATTCTCTCATCGCCTTGTTGACTCGCGAGAGCAATTCCATACGCGTCGAAGAGCAGGGAAATATTATTTATACATTGTTTATGTTTATACATGTCTATGTATTGCTATTTTATCATTAGAATGGATTCTCTCTACATGAACAAATGAGAATCATCATCATCATCATCTCGGAATGGAAAAGAAGAAGAAGGAAAAAAAAAAGATAGCTAACTGTATAATGTCTTCTTCCTAGAACGATTGTATGTTGATGATTGGTTCTTGTCTTTCACTCTTCATCGTCTTCTTTTTTTTTTCTACTATAACTCATATCGCCTACATAGTTGTATATGGAGTATCCTCTAGTGATGAATTAGTCGATCTCTTATTTTCTCGTTTTTCTATCCATTTTGTATACACATATATCATTCATACAGCTAGACAAATAAGACGTTATATTAAGAATAGTAGAGGAGGCGTTTTTCCTCTAATTGATATTTTCTTCGGTTTCTTTTTTTATTTTTTTATTTTACAGAAGTGACAAACGATTGAAATAATTTGTTTTTCTTATTCGGTAGTGGCAGTAGTAGTAGTGTCATTACATTTACCTTGTTCTGTTCTTTCATTTTCTATCGTTCTCTATGTGACTTTTTAAAAGAACGAGAGAGAGAGAAAGAGTCATATAGTTTTGTTGAGATATTTGAAGCAAAAAATATATATATATATATTTTTTTTATTTCATTTTCATTCAAGTATTTACATCATCATCGTCCATGTCATTACATAAAGATACAACATTTACAAGTAAGAATTTAAAGATTATATTATGTACAGAAAAAACAAAAAAAAGGAAAAAAAAATTTTATTTTGATTTTTAATAGAAATTTTTGTCGGTGGTTTACCTTATCATACAACAGATGATACATTACGGAAATTTTTTGAACGTTTTGGTGAAATTGAAGAGGCAGTTGTAAGTATTCTGTTAGATTTTTGAATTTCAAGAAATTTTTCTATGATTTTTTTTTATAACAAAAGGTTATTACTGATCGACAAACAGGCAAATCACGTGGTTATGGATTTGTAAGTAGAAAAAGATTGATTATGAGCATACGTATATATATATATATATTCATGAATGAATATGCGAGTTTCCTGTCTTAAAAGATAATTGCTGTCTTCTCTTATCATTGGCGTGCCATCAATCAGTAAAGGAATCTAAGCATGCCTGCTACTAATATGAATGTTCCTTATGTTTTTTCAACTTTGTACAAACAATTGTTTGATCATAAGCAAATATATAAAGATTTATTAGAGATTCGAATATATATATCTATGTATGATTAGTAGAGAAAGGTCAAAAGAAACCTTTCAAGATATTATTATTTTTTCATAGCAATTAACTTGTATTTTAAAGGTGACTATGAATACACAAGAAGCCGCAAGTTTAGCAACAAAAGAAGCCAATCCTGTTATTGATGGTCGAAAAGCAAATGTTAATTTAGCTTATCTTGGTGCTAAACCACGTGTAATACCATCACCAGCTGGTAAGTTTAGATTTAAATGTAACATAAATTTTTTTTTTTGCTAATTTATCTATATTATTTTTCAATATCTATCTTTCAAAAAAAAATCAAATATAAAATAATAAATAATAAATGACTATCCTTTTTCTCTCCTCATTAATTGTAGTACGAGCAGCATGAGAAAGAAACTAAAATAAAATAAACTAGACAGTAAGTGGATGCTCTGGATGACGCTGCCGTTTGTTTGACTGAGCACGAATTTGTGCCAGTTACTTGATGTTTTTTTTTTGTTTTTATATATTCTTTTTGTTTTTCTTAACCCAATACGTTAAATCATAATAAATTAACTAAAAATCTATTTATATATGTACAATAACAACCATGCCCACACTATAGTGGCATGGAATCTTTCTCTTCTTTTCTATATCTCGAGTGTTTGACGTTGGTGTTGTTGTGGTGCTCACACATACTCTCTCTCTCTCTTATACTTCTATGTCTGCGCCCGTGTGCTCGCTTTCGTGTGCGTGTGTGTGTCTTTTCTCAGTGCTTTCATTTTTCATATCATAGTTATTTGATCACATAGTAGCAGTATGAATGAGACAAACAGGAACAAATATAATAATGATGATATAAATTTATGTTCTTTTCTTTTCATTTTGAGACAATTGAAATTTGATTCTTTATAAACAAATATTGAAATATACAAAAGACGATAACAAATTCTAACAGCGTGTTTGCGTGATTTGTGTGCCTTTAGAATTTCACCTCGATTGTTGTTGTTGTTGTTGTTGTTTCTTGTCTCTTGGTTGCAGTAATCGATTTGATTGATTGATTGATTTTTTTTTGTTGTCTTTAAACCAACATACGAATATTTTGATCAATTAAAAAATAATTTATAAATTTGTAAATATTTTTTCTTTTTGATTATTATAGGTCTTATCCCACTTCATCTTGCCGGCGCTTATTCAGCAGCATTACCAACAACTTATGGGTGAGTTGATTTCGATTTTTTTCTCTCTCTCTCTCTCGCTTCAGTTTTACGTATAGACGAGTGAATTCCCTGCAGAGAAATCAAATCAATCTTGAAGTTAAAGAAGAGAAAGAAAGAATGTTTATTTGAAAAACAGAACACCCAAGTAATCAAGCGAATTTGATGAAAGGCCACCCTCTGTGTATTGACGCACACATACGGTGCTGATGACGTGATTGTTCTCTCATGTTGAAATAGATTTTCTCTATCAAAATTTAGATAAACAAAAAAAAAAAAACTTTTTTTTCTTTCAAATTCAGTTTAAAGATAAGCTATTAAACATATGTCACACATCTGGATAATTTTTTTTTCAGAATTCAACCAATTTATTATCAACAACAACCAACGACAACTCTATTAGCGGCAACTACAACACCACAAACTCTCAGTTCATTAATACCTAATCAAACAACAACTACATTAAATGGTGTACATACATCACAAAATCAATCTACAGGTGCACCATCCTATTATGAATTAACTTATGCTACAGCGCCATTAACATCAACATCTATTGAACAACAATCATATATATATGCGACAGCTCCTGGGCAAACATTTTCTTATGCACAATTACCGACAGGAGTTACTCAACAACAAACAGGTCCAACTAATATTAATGATGTTTATACGAATCATACAGCTAAATATATGATTGATGATCATAGTGGATCCGTTGATCGCGATCATCATCAACGTGCAGCAGCCGGATGGTGATAAAAATAATTAGAAGCAATATGTGCAGGGAAAATGACGAAATATAAAAAGTCTAGATCATTAATGTTTTGTTTATCTTTTTCTTTTCTTAATGTTTCTTTTTTTCTTTCTTGTTTAAGTTTTTTTCATCAAAAAAACAAAAAAAAAACAAAAAACAAATCTAGCCGAACATTTTCTACTGTACAGTCAAGATTTTTCGCTTGTTGACAATAAATCGAGAAAGCGAGTTTTATCTTTTAATTAAGATATTGAATATTTTATTTCAAATATATATTTATTTGTTAATTTGAATGATAAATATCAAATATGTTAAGCATCATTTGAATTCGATGATAATAATTTTAAAAAAGCTGTTGTTGGAGTTGTAAACAATTGTAGATTAATTAATGCAGGACTACTTTGAAGATGCATTTA